AGGAATTTACATAAGGATCTTATGGCTGTGACGTAGCTTCTAAATTTATTTTCAATCCGTAAGAACAAATTAGCTTGAAACAATACAAAAAAACCCCTCCAATTTTCACTTTTTAGTGAAATATATTTAGTGTCTTAATAGTGTTTTTAGCAGTTTGGGACACATATAGAACTGTCAACATTTCAAAAATGTGTTTTGTGACCCTTTAAAATGTGATGCTGAAATACATTTTAAAATATATTTACGTATATTTGAGCCCATTAAAGGCCAATTTATTAAATGTTCTATCTTCAATAGTTTTAATACACTAAGAAATAAAGGTACTGGAGCTGTCACTGGGGCAGTACCTTTTCAAATGGTACATATTTGTACCTGAAGGTTCCATACTGGTACCTCCAATTTGCCAATTTACTTTTTAGGTGCATTTGGGTACTAATATGTACCTTTTTGGTACCACTGTGGACTATTTGAGTACAAATATGTATCTTTAAAAAAGGTACTGCCCCAGTGACGGCTCCTGTACCTTTATTTCTGAGAATGTATAGTACGTTTGAGTAATATGTAATATGTACCTGTGTGGTACTACTATGAACCTTTTAGGATTAAACAATGTACAAAGGAACTGAAAGTACTGCCCCAGTGACAAACTATTCTACCCTAAAGAACACAGATCACAGTTTTAAGTTTTAGATGTCTGTACTTCAAGTAGTTGCATAAATGTAGCCAATAAGATTTTGAGTTAAGTATCAATAACCATGAGCACTCTATAGGTGCTCCACTTGCAACTTTTCATCCTATATATTCTTTATTATTTTGCTTTCATGTAGGCGTCATGGGATCACATGGGTAAAATGAGAGCATTTATGATGACAAAGATTGATCTGGTATGTTCGGAGAGCTATTCTTGCGTGACCACACATATTTTGTGAGTGTTATTCACTCGATCTTTGACATTATTCTTGCATTTAGGTCTAAAATAAGGCTTGCTGTCTCAGCGACGGCTTTGATAAATGCTGGTTTTGATTTCTAAGAAAATACAGGCCTCTCAAAACAGGAAAGGAAAGAATAATGATGGACCCCTAGGAAAGGTTTGTCACTGGTGTGACTGCAGCATTACTTAAAGCTGCCATTTTTAATGCACCAGTCTGACTCATGGTGATCCACAGATCTCAGTCCAAACTTGGATATGCTCTTTTTTAAGCTGACAGTTCTCTTACAGTAAACAATTGTTTTAAGGAGACTTTTGTTCTCTCATCCATTCATTATACAGTTCTTTTCAAGTTAAAGATTCATACTGTTATTCCCCTAAGTGTCTGGCTATCAAATAGAAAGGCGTTACCTTTTCGAACTCTTTGGAGGAAAAAGGAAATGTTCCTGGACGAAAGACCTGGAAAGAACCCTCATGATTCTGGTCATACTGTTCAATAGTTTTGTAACAAATTGCCTTGGCGGACTTGTTTCATTCTTGCAGTTGTCCAGCAATAGAAGAAAGGTTCTGGGTGATTTTAAGTGACATAAGCGGAACAAATTGTCATCATCAATTTTGAGTTGATAGAGCTTGAGTCCTTGAAGCTATGATCTCAGTTTTGCTTTGATTGCAGAGTCCTGGTTAAAGGATATAAAAGAGGCTGTAAATCCTACTAACGCATGAGCTCATGATTTGTACTTTTTGCGATACTCATCATCCGGCTATCTAACTCTTTTTGAATCAAATGTTTTGAATCATTGTTTTTCTAAAAGCTTAAATATCATTACATATTGCCTTTTTGTTAGTGCAGACATATTGTGATAAAACCATGAGGGGTCACACTTTATTTTGATGGTCTGTTTGTTGAATTTAAGTTGCATTGCATCTACATGCCAAATAATTCTCATTAGATTATAATTAAGGTTAGGGTTAGCGTAAGTTGATATGTACTTGAAAAGTTTCTTATAGTCAGTTAAATGTCTGTTGAAGGAGCAGCATCAGCAGATATTAAGCAAACAATCCACTTATACTCAAATGGAACATCAAAATAAAGTGTTACCCAATGAGGCCGTCCCTGACTGCAGGTTGTCTATGAAAGCCTGTGGACAGATTTGTATGTGAAGGGCTTTTTTAAAAACTTTATGCTCGCTTTTGGCTGTTTCTCTTTAATTCATGACAAGTACGTATGCAATGTTTAAAATAATGGCAAAAGATTTATTATGTACAGTAAAGACAATGTGCCAAGCGCACGGCTGTGTATTTTGCATTGCGGGGAAAAAGTTTGGCATGTATTTATGTTAATTTAGGGTGCTTTCACACCTACACTTTTGTTTTGGAACCTGTCTCGTTTGCCCAGTTAGCGCGGTTCGTTTGGCATATGTGAAACCACCAATCGCTCTCGGATCAGTGTCAAATCAATCGCTCTGAGATTGCTTGAATGAGGTCGTCTCGATTGAAACAAACTCTGGAGCGGATCGATTGCAGTGAGAAAGCGATATGATCTGAGCACGATTATATCACAGTGTTTTATGGATATGTAATAGGCATACGGCTATATGAAGAGAGAATTATGAGTAGGGCGGGAAGTTTCGCGGGTCTCGGATGATCGCAAACGAGTGATTATCTCCCGTCTCCCTCCCGGTCCTCAAATAGGCTACGTCGCGCACCCTTCTCACCCCTCCCCACCGCATCTCTCCTCGCTCTTCAGACATGTCGCGCTCACCTTGTCAAACACCACCAAACCACCACCTCTCCTGACAGCTGAGAAGGATTCTGCAAAATAAACCCTGACACTCTGACCAATGTGAGGAGAGTTTACTCACACGTGACTTGTTTCAGCTCTTTAGCCAATAAGCAGTGTGAAAGCGAACCGCTCCAAGAGCAAAGAGCAACAATGTAACAATTTGTAATCTCTGTTTTGGAACAACTGAATCGATTCACAGGTGTGAAAGCACCCTTAATTTTAGCATGTATTTTACGTGTTTCACACTCTAATGTGGAAGTTTGCTATCAGCATATAACTGCAAAGGTTTTTACAACTTTTTTTTAACTTCTAATAAAGAAAAACAAAGAACTTTGCTGTGAGTATAGTGGGGAATTGAATCATGTTCAGTCTCTTGCACTGTACATTACTGTACCTTTGCAAGCTCAAGAAATAAGTTGTTGATTGTAGTTCACTTAGGCTATGCCAGGGGTGTCCAAACTCGGTCCTGGAGGGCCGGTGTCCTGCATATTTTAGTTCCCACCCAAATTAAACACACCAGAACCAGCTAATCAAACTCTTTCTAGGTGTACAAGAAAAATAGCCAAATCCTTGGCTAAAATTGCTAATCTTTGATCGTTGGTTTGACATGTTCACAGACAGCCGCTTAGTGCGGTTGCGATCAGATTTATCCTCCGATGAATTTCTGGCAGTGTTGGAAGATTTCAGACACTTTCCTGCAGTGTGACAACAGCTGCGATGAGCCAATAGAAGCTCTGAATTTGACGCGATTCATGCGACAATTCAAACTAACGTGGGGAAATGTCAATACGGTTTTTGTTCCTGGTTTTATTATTGAGGCACGCCGTATGCAAAGTTGCCGCTACTTGTTTACGTTTGCTGTGAGGAATCATTTGAGCACACGAGATAGTGATCACGCTTTGATGACGCCAAACTCCGGGGGCGTTTTCTTTCGTGTTTGGAGCGTCTTAATTGTCATTCAATCAGACTTTATGACAGCTAAGATCTTACAGTGTGACATGGGAGCTAAGTTCGTCCAGTCTGACATGCTACACACTGCAAAAAATGCTTCTCTTACTTAGATTTTTCACAGTTCTTAAATCAAGAAGAATTTTCTAGACAAGCAAAACATATTGCCTTGTTTTCAGCAGTAGTATGCCAAAATTAAGTGAATATACCTAAAACAAGCTAAATAATCTGCCAATGGGGTAAGCAAAACAATCTTGTTTTTCCTTTTGACATAAGATTATTTTGTTTACCCCATTGGCAGATTATTTTGCTTGTTTTAGGTAAAAACTTACTTAATTTTGGCACATTATTGCTGAAAACAAGACAATATGTTTTGCTTGTCCAGATAATTCTTCTTGATTTAAGAACTGTGAGATATTTGGACTAGAAACAAGACAAAAAATCCAAGTAAGAGAAGCATTTTTTGCAGTGCACTCGTTCAGGATTATAAAAAAAAACGCACAGTGTGAGCCGGCCTTAAAATCTACAACCTCAGAAGAGTAGAGAACACTCAGCTGTATCTTTCTAATGCTTTACTCTTCCATGTTGGATTTATTAAATTTTGAATAATATTTTTATTATTCTTTCAGCAGCCCTTAAAAGTGGAGGAATATCAATTTCATTTAGCACATACTTTCCCCTAGGTTTTAATCAATCCTGGATTTTCCATCACATTCACTGTGGAAAACAGTTTTTTGTAACTATTTTTGACTAACGACGTTAGTGAAATCTGTTTCCACTGTTTATTACGCTGCCAGTTTATGATTTAGCATTAGTTTGGAAGGAGATGGACAGTTTGTGATGTCTGGGTGGGGTTCGCGTGCTCAGAACAGGGGTGTGATTTATCTCTGTAGGCAGTCTTCCAGTGATGTGGCTTACTCTCCCACTCAGTTCTCAGTGGTCTGTTGCTTGGTGGGCCGACTGCTCATCCTTGTGCATCGCTTTTTTTTCCCACCGAGAGCTTTTTAATCTTGTCATCTACCAAATTATAAACATATTTTTTTAGCACTTTGTTATGTAGTGAACATATGATGTGACTCATTAAACTACCTGAGTGTTAACCCCGATCTTTATCAGAGAGTTTGAATTTGGTGGTGTTCCTCATTTCAGTCTTGGCTGGACATCTAGGAAGCCTACTTCAGATTCTAGTTCGACTTTAAAGAGTTGAAAAACAGTTTTCCTTTTCCTGTTCTTGCAGAAATAAAATCACTCAGGGTCAAAAGTTTGATATAATATGCACATTGTTCAAACAAGATGGCTTTCAGAATGACTAATCTACTTGTGTTTCTGTTTTTATTGCAG